CCTGTCTAGCAAGCGGGAGGCCCTGAGTTCAAGCCCTAGTACCACAAAACAAACAAACAAAAATACATTACAAAGCATGCTTATTTTATTGATGGGAATAATCCAGGAGAGAGGGGGACAATTTTAATGAAAGAGGGACATACTGGAGCAAGGGGAGTTAGGGTCCCATGTACAAGAAGAGAAGCTGATCTTAGATGGAAGAAAAGACCATTCACAGTAATAAGAGTGAAAACAAGTCATATGGGTTAAGGTGGGAGGTTGGGAATGTTTGGGAGAAGGAGCAAGTTCTGTTTTGATGACTCTTTCTTCTCGAAAAAGAAAGCATGGACAACAACTGAAAGTGAGGGAAGGGGCAGGAGGAGTTGGAGTTTTGAGCAAAAGAAGGTTGTGAAATCATCATTGAGAGGAGTGGGAGAATGAGTGGACCAGAGAAATGGCCAGAATGCCTGGGCAGAACCAACAGATCTTACAAAGTGATAGGTCATGGATTTAAAAATGACTAGAACACAGAGTTGTGTGTTTTTCTCCAGTGATGTTCAATTACTTGTTTCAGCTTTCTACCTGATAGCTATGAGGCCATGATTCTCATCCCTGACTATACATTAGAATGGGAGGAACCCTTTAAAAATATGATGCTGACTGGGTGGGGGAGGGGAATAGCTCAGTGTTAGAGTGCTTGCCTAGCATGTATGAGGCCCTGAATTCAACCCCCCAGCACCACAAAACATATGTAAAATAATAATATGATTCTTGAGACCTCTCCCATCATTGGGATGGGAACTGGACATCAGTATATATTTAAGTTTCCCAGGTGAATCTAGTAGGCAGACTAGATTCTCAACTAAAGTTGAGATCTGTTGGTTGTCTAGGATCAGGTTGCTGAGGTGGGGTGGAGGACAAGGATTTGGATAATAGGAGAGGAGGTCAAGGAACAGGGAGGCCAGTTTATTGAAAGGAGGATTTCCAGATTTCACATCAGGAATTATGCCAGGAGTTGTACTTGAAGTTGATGTGATGGCATTTCCAAGGAGTGAGGAGATGCCCTAGGAAGCTGGATAACTGTAAAGGGAAGGGCAGCAGTGGGATGATCATATGGTATGAGGGTCAAAGGTGTTAGGGTTTTAAGGAGGAATGAGAGATAACACAATGGAAATGGTAGTGAAGCCCAAGGAGGACCATACCCACCTCAGACCCAGGGGCATCAGGGCTGTGGGACAGGCTGTGGGCTGGCAGGTGCTCAGGTGAGAGCAAGTGCTCAGTCAAATCAAGCACCCCAATCCTCTGAAGACTTTCAAAAGTATTCTTACCCTTTTTCCCTAAGCTCCAGATGGACCTCTCTAACGGCAGCCTTACCTCAAACACAAAATCCACACTGACTTCCTCTGTGCTTCTGCAACTGCTTTCCTTCCTGGGTTCCTTCCTCAGTTAATTGTGCCATCCTGCTGGGTGCTGGTGGCTTATGCTTGTAATCCTAGCTACTCAGGAGGCAGAGATCAGGAGGATCACAGTTCAAAGCCAGCCCAGACAAACAGTTCACAAAACCCTATCTTGAAAAAACCTATCATTAAAAAGAACTGGTGGAATGGCTCAAGGTGTAGGCCCTGAGTTCAAACCCCAGTACCAAAAAAAAAAAAAAAAGAATTGTGCTGTCGTTCAAGTCAGTTAGCTAACCCAGTCTATCAGGATTATTTAGAATCTTTTCTGTCTCTTCTTCCTCACAATGCAGTCATCAAATATTGGTCATGTGATTTCACAGCATCCATGGCATCCATCCAGAGTCCTGCGCCTCTCTTAAATCTTCTCTTGGAATGGTCCCCAGAGGAATCTTTTAAAAGTCAAATCTGGCCATGAAAATCTGACCATGTACTTGCCCTGCTTAAAATCCTAGCTGCTTACAGAATAATGTTCAAGTTCTGCTGGGTGTGGTGACTCAGCCTGTAATCTTACCTACTTGGGAGGTGGAGATTTGGAAGATTTTAGGTCAAGGTTAGCCCAGGCTAAAAAGTTCGCAAGACTCCATCTCAACCAATAAAAGATGGGGAACATGGCGCACACCTGTCAGCACAAGCTAAATAGGAGGACTACAGTCCAGTCTGGCCCAGGCATAAATGTGAAACACTGTCTCAAAAATAACCAGAGCAGAAAGGCCTGAGGGCATGGCTCAAGTGATAGAGCACCTGCGTAGCAGGCACAAGTCCCAGAGTTCAAACCCCAGTACTGCCAACAACAATAACAAAAAACTTAAAAGAATAAAGTCCCAAGTTCCTTAACATGTCAGCTCCACAAGAGCAGGGAGTTTTGTCTCTTATGTTTACCACTGTATCCATTTATTTCCAGGGCCTAGAACAGAGCCTAGTACACAGTGGTGCTCAGTATAAGTTTGCTATATCCATCACAGCGTGGTTCTTGCCCCTTCCTCAGCCTCATTCCTAACTCCCCTTCCTGCATTCCACCTTACCATTTACTTCCGTGTCTGAGCATGTGTTGTCCTTCACCTTAGATACCTTTCTCTGTCTGGAAACTCCTGGTGAACTCTTATTCATCCTTTAAAACCTTGCTCAAAGGTCACCTCTTCTATGAAATCTCTTATAATCATCTCTTCCTTATCTACTATATTCATCACTTTGAACTTCATATTATATGAGTATGCTTATGTGCCTTTCTCTCCTGCTAGACTTGGCTTCTTCTTGGTAAAGATCAATCTTAACTCAGTGCCTAGCATATAACAGGCATTTGAGTAAACTGGTATATTGTGGAGGCAGATCAGGAAAGAAGATGGAAGGTGCTGAGTTTATTCATACATTTTGGATAGAGAAGTAGTAAACAGTTGCTTTTTCCCAAGCACTTATGCTGGGTCCATTCTGCTGTTGATATTCAAGGGTACAATGCCAAGATGGTGACATAAATACCATAGTGTGAAGGGAGCGAGCCAGATGAACTCTGAGCTGCTGCTTTTGTCCCAGGAAATACATTATCATTCCCATTTTACAGGTGTTTCTCAGGCCCTGCGGTGTGACTGAGGAAGATCATAGTTCAGCTTCTGTCTGCAGTGATGAGCTATGAGGCTCTGCTGTTCCTTAGGAAACAGGTCTTGGAGTCACTGTAGATTTTGCAAAATATCAGGCATTATCAGGATGGGAACTAGAAAGCAAAGAGAATAATCTCTACCCTTATACAAAAGAAAGTCAGGAGGCCTGAGGTGGCCCCAGAGAAAAGAGTTACTCCAGGGTTGAGAGAGCACAGAGCCTGGACCACTGAATTGGTAAACAAATGCTGGGGAGATGATCTCAGAAAACGGCTGAGATGGATGAGTATTTGCTATGTGCCAGGTGCTGTACTTTAGGTGTCATTTCATTTCCTTTTTACCCCAGTCCTGAGCAGGGGTACTGTAGTCGTACTTCTCGGACTCATGAGGATGCCCAACAGCACACAGCTGGAAGGTGGTGGAACCAGGACTCAAAGCCAGGTTTTTGGACTTGGGAAGTTTGAATCCCTCTCATAGATGATATGATGACCAAAGCCGTAAATGCTTGAAGGACATAGATAGAAAGACCAAGTCTTGGAATAGCGCAGTATGTGTAACTCAGAAAACTTGAGAGGAACAGTTTTCATACATGTGGGTGATAATCATGTCACTTAATGGTTTATAAACAAGGTAGGGGGAAAAGTTGGAACAAAATTTAAGTGAATTCCTGGGTACTTGATGATTTCAGATATAAACTAAATTGCTAACAATTTTAGGTCTGCATTAGAGCACACCTCTTCTACATATTCCCGGAGGATATTCTTAGGTACTGTTGTCCAAGAAAGCATGCATTCTGGTCCAGAAGTTGGATCCATCAGAGGACTTTTTCAAACTTTTGACAGTAATGAGATCAATTCAGCAGGTCTCTGTTGAATACTGCTGTATCAGAGTCTGACACACTTGGAGCTTAAACAGCAGGCATTTATTTTCTCACAGTTCCAAAAGTTTGAAGTCCAAGATCAAGTTCAGGCAGGTTGGTTCCTGGTGGGGCCTCTCTTCCTAATCTGCAGCTGTTTACCCTCCCACTGTAACCTCACATGGCCTTTCCTTTTGTATGTGCCCTGCGGTAGGGGTGGGGGTGAGGGTGGTGAGAAAGAGAGAGAGATCAGTCACTTTCTGGTATCTTCTTATAAAGCCCCAGTCTATCATTAGAGCCCCACCTTTATGACCTCATTTAATATTAATTACCTCCTTAAAGGCCTTATCTCCCAATATAGTCACATTAGGGGTTAAGGCTTCAATGTATAAATTTGGCGGAAGGTGGGGGGTACAGTTTGGTATCTAACAAGGTCTCTCCTTTTTCATGTTCTGGGGTTTGAACTCAGGGCCTACACCTGGAGCCACTCCACCAATCCTTTTTTTTGTAATGGGTTTTTTCAAGATAGGGTCTCACAGAACTATGTGCCAGGGCTGGCTTCGAACTGCAATCCTCCTGATCTCTGCCTCCTGAGTAGCTAGGATTACAGGTGTGAGCCACCAGCTCCCAGCCACGGTCTCTCTTCTTACTGTCTTAAAATAAAATCAAGCAGAACAGGCCTTGTGGAGTGGCTCAAGTATAGAGCTCTTGCCTAGCAAGTGTGAGGCCTTGAGTTTAAACCCCAGTGCCACCAAAAAAAAGAAAAAAAAAAAATCAAGCAGAACAGACAGACTCTCTCAGAGTGAGTATTGTTTGAGGAAGCTTTCCCAGCTGTCCACATGAAGGCATATGTGTTTTGATCTTGTAACGTAAGCTGTGTTTCTGACTGAGTCACATTTAGAGACACTGGAGAGCTAGTGTGTTACACAAGAAGTGCACTTGACTCTCTGGCCTCCTGGACGCCAGAGTGGGAATTGCACACAGTGTCTTGCTGTTGATGGTGCAGTTGATGACTTCTCTCCATTTGAGCTGGTAGAATCCCCCAGCTCTGGAGCCTGTCCAGTGGCCAGGATCATTGCTGCTTACAGTACAGCTAAACCAGTCCGTTGGGTTCCTCAGGTGACGTGCTGGTGGTCCCCATCAAGCTCCACAAGTGTCCTTTCTGCCCTTACACTGCCAAGCAGAAGGGCATCCTCAAGCGGCACATCCGCTCACACACTGGTGAGCGGCCCTACCCCTGCGAGACCTGCGGCAAGAGGTTCACGCGACAGGAGCACCTTCGGAGCCACGCCCTGAGCGTAAGTGTCCTGGCTGCCCGCGCTCATGGCAAGGGCTGTTTGTGATGTTATCTAGTAAAGTCAGCCTGCCTTCCACTTCTCTGTCCCCTTGATTTTCAGAGAATTTTAAACATATGTTTCTGTTACTGAATTGAAGCTGGGCGGATGCACTTAGAGAAAGTTAAAACTGACATGATAACAGACTAGTTTCCTAAGGGGAAGCCTTAAGAAAGTTTAGGTCCTGCTCAAGGGTGGTTGTCATAAGGTGGAAAACACCAGGGATTGGACTTGGGATTGTGGGTCTTTCCCCACCTGTGCAATGCCAAGGATAAGTAGCATCCCCCGGGCTGGGGATGGGTACACTGCCATTTATAGAGCTATCCATGGGCAGCAGACAAAAAGGGCCTTAGCTTAAGGAAACCTCCCTCTAACTGTCCTCTAGAATGCTGTGTCTGTGTGAGCTAGTGGTTTCCACCAGCTACAGAGCACTTGGGCCATTTAGAAAGATGTTGCACTTATGGCCATCCTTGAGCAAGCAATCAATCTTTGGAAAATCCAACGTAAAAATAGTTTGGACTTCAAAGGAGGCTACCAAGAACATGGGACTGGATGTGAGAAGATCTGCTGTAACATCTGTCACCTCATCAATAGCCAGGGTTGATTCAGCTGATCTGGCTAGGCGGGTGTCCCCTTCTCCCCTCCCTGCCCATGTGAGTCCTTCCCTACGCTGTGCCTTCAGTCTAAGAGGACGACCTTCTCCCACAGAGGAGGACTGGTCTTCCGTCAAGGGTGTAGGAGTAGCTGCACTTTCCTGCTAGAACCTACAAACAAGCTCTCAAGAATGTGGGACTGAATGCTTATGCAGCATGCATGGGTGAGGTTCTAGGTTTGATCCCAAAAATGAAAGGGGGGGAGGAGAGAAACAAGGGAGGGACAGATGAAGGAAGGGAGGGACTGAGAAAGGAAGAAAGGGAGAGGGAGGGAGGGAGGGAAAGGGAAAGGAAAGGAGAAAACCCATGGAGGGGGTGGGGGAAGGGGGGAGAAAGAAAAAAAAAGAAAAAGAAGAAAAAAAAGAAAACCTATGGAACCAGCTAAAAATATTTGCAAGGCCTATGTCTGATAAGGCTCTAGAGTATATAAAGGACTCTTAAAAAGAAAACAGTAGAAACCAGGTACTTGCAGCTCAGGCCTGTAATCCTAGCTATTTGGGAGGCTGAGATTGAGAGGATCGAGGTTCAAGGCCAGCCTGGGCAAATAGGTTTTGAGACTTCATCTCCAAAATAACCAGAGCAAAATGGACTAGAGGAGTGGCTGAAGTGGTAGAATTCCTGCTTTATAAGTGTGAAGCCCTGAGTTCAAACCTCAGTCTCACAAAAACAAAAAACAGTAAAAAAAGATAATCCAATTAAACACGGGCAAAGAATTTGAGTAGACCTTTCTCCAAAAAAGATATACCTGAAAGTACGTGCAACATTGTTCAACAAAGCATGCAAATGAGAACCGACATCAGAGGCCCCTTGGCACCTACTTGGATGGCTGTAACTGTTGACTGGCCTGCATTGGCTTCTCCCTGTGCCTGCCTCTTGTGCGCACCGTTCATCCAGAGCTCTCTAAAAGAGAAGTGTGATTGGGTCACAGAGTCACTGTTGGTTTGAATTCTTAAAGAGAATACATGTTAGAAAGATACTTTCTTACAGCGGGGCTCCACCCTTAGGGGGACCCATGTGGGGTAGCATGCAAAGCTCTTCTCACAAGTAAGCAATGCATTTTTCAATGAAAAAGTCAAGGGCAAAGCACCTGCTGGCTCATTTGGGGAATACACCATCTACTCTAGCAAGTCTGCCTTCTTAGTAGTGGAACAATCCAAGGTACATACAAAAGGAATGCCTTAAATACTAATCGGTTCACCAGTGCTCTTTTTATGCCAAGCACTAGCAATCTGTCCCTGCCCTCTTGGGGCTTACACTCTAGTGAATTTTATCAGTGCTTTGTGAGAAGTACAGCAAAGGAAGACACATAGGTGAGAATATATAGCTGGAGGACCTAAGCTAGTCCAGAGCATCAGGGAAGATGTCCTTGAAAGGTGTTAGAGAAGGATAAGGTGCTGTTGAGGGGGAGGAGGGAAAGTTCCACACATGTCCAGTGGCCCTGGGGTGAAAGGTTCTTCATGAGACTGAGACAATGGCAGAAAAAGCAAGGGGAAGGGAGTGGGAATGAGGCTGGAGGTCAGGCAGGGGACACATCACATGGGGCCTGTAGACTATGGCTCTGCTGCCTTACCTGTGACATTTACTGTGTCCACTCTGGTTACAGGTCCACAGATCAAACCGTCCAATCATCTGCAAGGGCTGCAGAAGAACCTTCACAAGCCACCTGTCTCAGGGGCTGCGGCGCTTTGGGCTGTGTGACAGCTGTACCTGTGTTACAGATACTCACGATGATGATGACAACTTGACGCCCATCAACCTTAGCCTGGTGGAGGCTTCATCGGAAAGCCAAGAGAAGAGTGACACAGACAATGACTGGCCAATCTATGTGGAATCTGGTGAAGAGAATGACCCCACTGCAGAGGATTCTGATGAAAAACCACAAATTCGGCCCAACTTAGCAGACCAAGAGACACACACATAGCAATCAGTTGGTGGGGAAGATGTTGTAGAATGTGTTCCTGATCATTCTGAGCTGAAAGCCACCATTTGTTCAATTTTGTGGAACCCTGAAGGAATGTTTTTTTCACTGTTGTTACACTTGCATTTTTGTGAGACTACATGGTAGAGGCTGGATATTGTAACTCAAAAGACTGGTGATTTTTTACTGTGGTGCCCTTGATTCTGCAGCCTCCCCTTAATTCTGAGTGAATCAAGGTGGGTCCTGAAGCTTCTTGTTTCCTGCTGACATCCAGATTGTGGGTAATAGGAGGATAAGGAAATCTCCATGCTTGTTTCCACACTGTCTCAATCCTCTGCATTCCTTTACCTTCATCCTCTTTCTCTGAGAAGATGGGCAAGAATACATTAAATTTTGGGACCAATCCTTGCCAAGCCTCTCCTAATGAATTCCACACTTTAATGATCTGGCAGAGCATTGAAGAGAAATCTTCACTGACAGAAAGCAGGCAGGGTTGTTTGGCTACATAGTCATAAAAGGTGCTCTCTTAAATCTTAGACTGTAATTCTAAATTCTGGGAGTATTTATGTGCAGATGAGCATGGAAATTAGCTGAACAGCTCACGGGGTACCCCATTTGCTCAGTTGAATTAAATTTTATATGAACCTCAAAAAGAGAGCCTACATGTTGGTGTTGGGTGGTTTCCCTGTCTGGTTTGATATGTGACAATTCCACACTCACAAATAACCTGTTCTAAGATCATAAAGGAAGTTATTTGGGCAAAACTCAAAACATTCCCCTGCTTTTTCTAGCCATTTCCTTGAGACGTCACTGTGGAACCTGGAAATGTAGCTAACCCTAACATACTTTTTTTTCCTTGAGCCACTCCAGCAGCCCTTTTTTGTGGTTTTTTTTTTTTTTTTTTTTTGAGATAGGTCCTGTGAACTATTTGCTAAGGCTGGCTTTGAACCATGATCCTCCTGGTATCTGCCTCCTCAGTAGCTAGGATGACAGGTATGAGCCACTGGTGCCCAGTGCCCAGAATTTTTATTGGAGGGAAAGTCAAAGCTCATCTAAACACATTGTATTTTTAAATCACTTAGCTTTTAAAAGAACCTCTTGAAGGAAAGAGAAGGTCAGTGGAACAGTTTTTAAAGCCAGTCTGCTTTTCACATCTGCAGCTGAGCAATCACTGACAAAAGGGTCTAAGCTCCTTTAGAGGGCCCACTGGCAGGAGGGGCACTGGGGATAAAGGATGTACTTGAAGGTGCTTTCATAAATTTGTCTCATGTTAAAGTATCCAAAACAGACTTTTAAAAGAAATCCTCTTGTCTTCCTTTAATTTCAGTACAGTGTTTTTCAAAAGGTAGTCAAATTGCCTGTCTCCTACCTCTTGAACAAGAAGAAAAAAAAAATCAATAGATTACAAATTGGCTTATTGGTGTTGGTCTGGACATTAAAGAATTGGAAAGCTTTTCAGGATTTTTCAATGCGGGGTATTGAACCCAGGATCTCATTCATGCTGAGCTATACTCCGAGCCCCTAGAAAGGCAAAGCTAAATTGTACCTTTTGGTAGTAGTTAAGAGTTCTAGGACACTGTTTCTCAAACTATGGCCATAGTCAGGTGCTATTCTGTGAATTGTTTTCTACTGGTCTTTGATAAGGAATTAGAAATTAAGAGTGAACGTACAGAAACTTTTATGACATGTTGACCCTGCCATGACACCATGTATGTGGTCAGTGACTCCATTTTCTTGAACAGGGTATGGACCAGCTCAAGTGTGGCCTATCTATGAACCAGTTCTACAAAGCTGGATACCAGGCCATATAGGAGGACCACATATTGGAAATTTAAAAACTGGTCTTTTATCACATGTTGTTTGAAGACCAGAAACACTTCTTGCCTGAAATGAAAATATGAGCTGTTATTTTGAAACAGGAATCTAGGCAAAATGCTATTTAAATGGATGTATAGATTTTCCAAGGAGTTATGTTTGATATTTTTACTCCCTATTGTTAATTTACTTCTGATGTTTTAATATGACTTTTCTACCTCACAATTCAACTCTCTGCCTACTTTCATCGATCATGTGACCTGTTCATTATCACTTGGTAAAAATTCACATTAGAGATTTCCCTCTCTGGCAGTAATTCTCCTTTGGGGCGCGTTTACCCTGTAGAGGACATTTGGTGGTATCACATTCAGTTACAGGGCATTGTACTGCTGGCCTCAAGTGAGTGGAGGCCAGGGATGCTGCTAGATATCATAAAATGCCTAGGACAGCAGTCCCATGACAACGAATTATCATGCTCAGAATGTATGTAGTACCAGGGTTGAAAAACCCTGCTATAAGTAGAGTTTTTTTTTTCTTTGTTTGTTTGTTTGTTTGTTTTTTGTGGTACTCGGGTTTGAACCCAGGGCCTATACCTTGAGCCACTCGCCAGCCCTTTTTTTGTGATGGGTTTTTTTCAAGATAGGGGCGCCAGAACTGTTTATATTTAGTGGTCAGTATAAAGAACCACAGTGTCTTTGAGGTTTAATTCATGGTGCTAATGATTTTTGGGGGGAAGGGGTGTTAGCATCAACCCCAGCACCAAGCAGGTGCTCTTCATCTGAGCAACACCCCCAGTTCCTGGTGCTATTTTTATAAGTAAATTCACAATTGGGCCCAATAAAGACCATTAGTGATTAACTGGCACATTTAGTCCAAGTTCACAGGGGATATTTTTGTCTCATGTAAATATATTGCATGATGGAAGCAGGTTTCTTATTTGTAATGAAATTAAAAGTTGGCATTTTTAGGCAGTTTTTCTTTTTGGGGGCTGACCCCTCCCTTCTTGGAGGCTGGGAAGCTGTGTGAATAAGGCTGTACCCATAATAATGAAGAAATGGTTCCGAGCACCATGGTTTTTGATCATTTGGCAGAGAGATGTCATTCTGATGTCAAGATTTTGGGGGCCACTAGTCTTTGGCTTAATGGTCTGCCAAATGGTGTGGAATTGAGAGTCTTAGTGGTTCAGGATGCTGTGAACCAGGGCTTTTTGTTGCTCACTGATGTGATGAACCTGGTGGAGAGGAAGGCAGCAGATAGAGATGCACGTGCTGATCTGAGAGCAGTGGGAAGACTGCAGTGGCCCTGGGTTCACTGAACTCAGACTTGCATTTGGCCCTCTGGGTTTGTTTACATGTCCCTGTGCATTGAGAATAAAATGTTCTCTACGAAGTCTAGCGTAAGGAGTAGAGAGGGGCGTGGGCTGGATGGGTGACAAGTCCCTGTCACGCTGTTCGAGCATGGCCACCTTACTTCCTGTTGTTTGTTTCTGTACCTGGCCCTGTGGTTCATGTGATCATGCAGTCTTCTATCCTGAAAGGGGACACCTTATTCTGTCACTTATGCTTCATTGTCATGCTCTTTCTGCCTGATATTACTATGTTCCTCGAACTTTTCATTGTAGCATTGGAAATTTGAATTCTCTTAAATGATGCTTCTGTAGAGATAAATGAAAAGTTTTGGGGGACTAGGAGTAGTTTGGTTGGTTTCGTTTTCTGGCGGCACTGGGGCTTAAACTCAGGACCTCAAGTAGACTTTTCTACCACTTGAGCGACTCAACCACCTGTTTTTTTTTTTTGTATGTTGGGTATTTTCGAGATAGGATCTCTTGAACTATTTGGCCACTAAGTCAAAGGATTTGAGAGCTAGGAGGGACCTTAGAGATAGTCTTCTCCAAGTGCATTTTACAGAAAGAAGAAATGACGAGTTCCTAGTTCCTACACAACTGATTAAGATCAGAAACCAGGTCCTGACAGGCCTATGTTGATAAGAAACATGTTTGAGCAGGAGAAAAGACCATCCATAGATAGAGTTTGTTGCCTTGGTTACCTATTAGACCAAAATGCTGTTTTGGCCTATATGATAAAGTATGCTTTGTGTGGTCGTGGCCTGCATTCTTGTAATGCTCAGACAGGGAGGGAGGAAGTCTCAAGTTGAGCATAGGGGTGCTCATTTACTTTCTCTGTCCCATATGGTATGATAACCATCAAACACACACAAAAATGTGAATAGAAATTTCTGTCTGTCCACTTACTTAATGCGCCTATCATGTATTTGATTTTAATGTTTTCATTTTATTTGTAAAACTTTCAAGAGAATAGCCAGCATTTTCTTGAAATTACTCTTTCCAATCTCTCTAACTGATTTTTTAAATAGAAATTGGATATGATTCAGGGAATTTGTCAGGACAATCTTATTTGAAACAGAAAACTACACATCTTTGGTTCAGCAGCCCACATGCTATTATGGCATTGAGTGACAATGTAGTTTAGGTATTTCTTAATTCAGTGGGTTTTTTGGGGGGGCAGTAATGCAATTTGAACTCAGGGCTGCATACTTGCTAGGCAGGATCTCTACCACTTGAGCCATGCTGCCAGTCCTTTGTGCTCTGGCTGTTTTGGAGATAGGGTCCTGTTTTTTGCCCCGGCCAGTCTGGACCATGATCCTCCTATTTTTAGGCTTCCCACTAGCTGGGATGAGAGGCTCATGCCACTACCACTGTACCCAGCTATTGATTGAGATGGGGTCTAGCTAACTCCCTGTCCAGGCTGGCCTTGAACCAAGATCTTCCCCATTTTAGCCTCCCAAGTAGCTAGAATTATAGGTGTAAGCCACCACTGCCTGACAATTCAGTGGATTTAAGTAAGTTTACTGCCAAAGCTAGTTTCAGTTGAAGGTCTGCAATAATATGCAACAGTTATTAGTAAAACACATTAGCCTCTTAGTCTAAAAATATCTAGAAATAGTGTTGTTGGCTATTAATGAAATATTTATCAAATTTTGAATTAACATTACTTAGGGCCATCAAAGATGCAAATCATCTTTAATTTGGTTAAATCAAGTTGGGATTCAACAGGAAATAGACTCAAGCTAAATTTTCTTCTCAATTTGTATAAAGCCAGACTGAAATACCCTAGTGACAACTTTAGAGTAGGTACAGCCTCTGCCAGGTTCAAGAGGAAGTCTTTGTT